GCAGCAAAGTTCCTTGATTATTACGCTGGAATGAGAGTATAGTTCCTAGCCATATCGGCCTAGAAAATCGCAACTTTTCATTTTCCGTCGATCTTAGTACACGATGTAACTACAGAAGAGTCAAGTTTTAAATAGGAAAAATATCGAAACTCTTTGGTAATTTTTAGCGCGATGCTAATGGTCTAATCAGATTCAATGATCTATGCTAAGCTGCAGCTAAAAGTGCTACTGCCAGACCCGGAGATCGGCTGAATGGATTCAAAAATGGTAAAACTCAACTGTTTAATTCTAGGGGAGTTGAAAAATGAGAATATTTGCAAAAATAGTGGAGTGTTCCTTTAAGGGCAGATAGCATGCAAAATGGGAAGTAGGGATTGTGTGCACTTACATCAGGATTAGAGAGTTTACTGATATCAGGATACAGATAATAAGTAATTCCAGTTGCAGCTCCTGGCAGTGTCACTCCTCTGATGAAAAGGATGAACAGCATTAAGTAGGGGAACGTAGCAGTGAAGTACACAACCTGCAAAACAATGATGATACATACATATCGTGTTAGTTAGGGTGGCCGTATGTCCTCTTTTTCCCGGACAGGTCCTGGCCAGGATTTCTATATTGCCTAAAATATCCAGGTTTTGGCTTTGTTTTCCTGTTTTCATACTTGCTGTAGGTAATGATCGAAAAGTAGGCATTGTACATAATCGGCCAATCGTGTCGCGTGAGAAGGTGGGATCTACAGAGAATGGTCAAAGTGATGCAATTATGCGTACATATTAGGTGTGTTCGATTTGAAGCTGCCCTGCGCAGACTGATCGGTGTATGACATCAAAGTACTGTGAGAGTGATTTGCAAGCATAAAGGAGCTGTCTGCTCTCTATAGCTCTCGTGGTACTTTGATATCATACACTGATTGGTCTGCGAAGGGCTGCTCGAACACACCTATATACGCGTGTTTGCTTCTATTTGACTGTTCTCTGTAGATCCAATCTTCTCACGCGCCACGATTGGTCGATTATGTACATTGGTCAAACTACTTTTCGATCAGCACCTTCAGCAAGTATGAAAACAGGAAACAAAACCTGGATATTTTAGGCAATATAGAAATGGCCAGAGCGTGTCCGGGAAAAAAGAGGACGTATGGTCACCCTATGTTAGTTGACGTTTCTAAAATATCCCAGTCCCATCCCGATCTTTCGGCAGTGTTGCATATATAAATGAGATTCCCATAGACTAGCAGCCACATGCAGAAAATAGACATTTAGCCATTAGCGCATTAGCTATTAACCGCTTAGCCATGTTCTAAGCAACCACTCAAAACACCTTAGCAAACATCCAGAATGCCACAGAAACCACTCTGAACATTAAATGGATTAGCTAATACTGGGAAACTCCAAAATAGCATCGGCAAATTTTTCACAAACAAGCTCAATGCACATTTCTTCTGAAAAATATTGTTACTTAACATGTTCTCTTTTGTTTACTTTTTATGTAGAGATTGCAGGTTGATATTTAGCATTTTGTTTAAACTAGATTTTCTGAGGAAAATAAGTGTGTGGGGCTTGAACGTACAAAGCTAACTGCTATTATGATAAGGTGTTGTGGGTGGTTGCTAGTACTGAATGTCGCTATACAGTTGCTAAGGTATGATGAATGCATGCCTGATAGCACACATATGCAGAGATGTCTATTTGATGACAGTGTTTTCGTGTGGAAAATCTATTTTTCAAAGCATTTGCATCTACAATATGTCTTTAAAATGTTTTCTGTCTGACGTTAAATATACATTTAAAAAAAACAACCCAGGCTCTTTGGAAAAAAACATACCTGTGGTGACATTTCTTTAAAATTATTATGTTGCTACTTGCATGTTGAAATGTCAACTAAATGGTGCTAAAAGCATGTTCAGTTTATCTGAAACAGATGAAACTGGCAACATGTTATCACATTGGTTGTTATATGTATCGTGTCAGTTTGGAAATTAAATGTCCGATGAGTGGTGTCAAAAGGTTAATAGTGTTTGAAAATAACATACTACCCTAAACCTAACAGTAACACTTTACAATAAGGTTCAGTTACTTATTGTTAGTTAATGTATTAACTAACATGAATCAACAATGAATAAAACATTTATTACAGTATTTATTAATCTTTGTTAATGTTAGTTAATGAAAATAAAGTCATTCATTGTTAGTTCATGTTAATTCACAGCGCATTAACTAATGTTAACCAGCACAACTTTTGATTTTAATAATGCATTAATAAGTGCTGAAATTAACATGAACTAAGATTAATAAATGCTGTAGAAGTATTGTTCATTCTTAGTTCATGTTAACTAAATTAGTTAACTAATGTTAACGAATAAACCGTATTGTAAAGTGTTACCAACCTAACTGATAATGTTAACAAAAGCAAACGTGAGATAAAAAAGCAATTTATGAAGCAACCTTGTCGTTTTAGCTTCTACAAGCTTTTAAGCTCCTTCCTTATAATTCATGTTTCATGGGGACTGTACCTTAGCGCTCTGGATTACATCCAGCTATACTAGGTGAGCTACAGAGTAAGTTTACTACTTTAGAAAAGCAATTAAATTATACTGGTTATGTGATGTACACATCAACATTTTCTAGTTTACAAATCATGCACTATGGTAAAAGTGTTTTGAGATCAAAACATAGTATTGTGCAAGGAACTGTGTGAAAATAAGTCTACATTAATTAATAATTAGCCTTGTAATCATTATCGGTGATACTACATTGGATGGTGTGTGTGTGTGTGTGTGTGTGTGTGTGTGTGGCTGCTAGCTGTTGCTAAAATGGTTTGAATGACTTAGAATGCTACTATTTGATTGTAAGTGTGTTCTGGGTGGTTTATTGGGAATTGCAAGGTTGCTAGAGTGTTATGGGTGGTTGCTCAAAAGAATACATAGATTCTGGTCCCTAGATATGGCTCAGGTCATTCACTGTAAGTATATGGGTTTTTACAGCGTTTGTTTATGGTAATTAAAATTATGACATTGTTTACTATTGATTATTTCATTGACAGACAGATGTGTATGAGTATCAGCTGACCTTGCCTGTGGTCTTGACTCCTTTAAAAATGCAGAAATAACAGATAACCCAAGCCAAAAGAAGACACATGGCAAGATCAGCATTTACAGTCCCCAGACCACCACTGTTTGCTACCCGCAACATACGATGGCTGAGGGTACACACAAAAACACACAAATATTATAAACCGCACATTTTCATTTTAGTTCCATGCATGTCAAGACTCAAAGTTTTAGATTTCTAGTTTTAGGATAAACCTAGGCCCACAATCACAAATTCCCATGATAGATGTATCTTTTTAGTTTGGTGGGTTTTAGTTTAGGAAACTGCACAAACTATAAACATGTTGTTTTCATTGAATTCACTGGCTCTGTGGTTCAGCCCAGATTTCTCAATATCCCATGTCTTCCTGATGAAACATTAAAAGTCTCTGTCTCACAGATGTTGGATGTTTTTCATTTTTTCCCACCCTGTTAAGGGTAGGGGTTATCTAACTCATAGTCCAGGACTTGGAAGACAACTAACCCTAAATTAAGTGAGTTTTCTGACATTAAAATAGTTTCTAAAGTAGCTGACTGACACTAAAGCAAGTTCTACATTGTTAAACTGGAAAAGGTGCAGTTGTTTTTATAAGGATTCGAGTTAAAAAGCCAGAATTGCATGAAATAGTCGAAATTGCATGTTATAAAGTCAGAATTGTGAGATATAAACTGAGAAATAAAGTCAGAATTACGAGATAAAAACTCACAATTCTGTCTTTTTCTCTCAGAATTGTAAGATATAAACCCGCAATTCCGAGGAAAAAAAAAGACCATTTTCTTACAATTGCAAATTTATATCTCGCAATTCTGACTTTATTTCTCAGAATTATAGTTATATAGCCATAAAGTTATGAAGTCCATTAAAGAGCTATAAAGTCAGAATTGTGTGATATAAAGCCACATTTGCATGTTATAAACTCATAATTGCAAGAAATAAAGTCACAATTATGAGTTGTAAAGTTATAAATTGCACGTTATAAATTCACAATTGCAAGATATAAACTTGCAATTCTGAGAAATAAAGTCAGAATAGCGAACTGAACTGATTCTGAGGGGAAAAAAAGACAATTTTCTAAGAATTGCGAGTTTATATCTCACAATTCTGACTTTAATTCTCAGAATTACAAGTTTGTAAGTCAGAATTGCGAGAAACTTTCTTTTTAAAAAGATAAAAAGTAAGAATTGTGAGTTTATATTTGTGAATTTGTAACATTTATAACTCGCAATTGCGAGTGTATATATCTCACAATTCTGACTTTACAACACACAATTGCAAAAAAAAAAAAAGAAAAAACAAAGTTTGAATTTCGGGTTTATTTCTCGCATTTCTGACTTTATAACTCAGAATTGTGAGTTTATATTCCATAATTTATATCAGAAATGCAAGTTTATTACACACAATTCTAAGGAAAAAAAGTGAGAATTGTAAGATGTAAACTCACAATTGTGGGGGGAAAAACCCTCAGAATTGTGAGAAAAAAAACAAAGTTGGAATTTCGGGTTTATTTCTCGCATTTCTGACTTTATAACTCAGAATTGTGAGTTTATATTCCATAATTTATATCAGAAATGCAAGTTTATTACACACAATTCTAAGGAAAAAAAGTGAGAATTGTAAGATGTAAACTCACAATTGTGGGGGGAAAAACCCTCAGAATTGTGAGAAAGTCAGTTACCTTTTTTTTTTTTTTTTTTTATTTAGTGGCGGAAACAGGCTTCCATAGCTATTGCTGCCTGACACTTAAAAATGACAATAACCTGTAACTTAATGTAATCATCATAGGCTAATTTGTAAACAAACAAATTAATTAATTGTTTGTTCTGGGTGGTATCTAGAGTGTTGTTATTAAATTGCTGAAGCCAGCTTTGTTTTTCCACTGGCTGTTACATCTCACACATAACATAAAAGTTTGAAACTGCATTGTAACAATCACAATTTTAAATTGTAGCAGAGTTTTGAGTGTAGGTTGCTGAGACTCAAAATAAATGTGTGGCACTAATGCATATACAGTATTTGAAATGTTTAAGTAGCAAATGATGTAACTTACAACCAGTAGTCTTGTTCTGGGGAGATCACTTTAAAAGGCGGCCATTCGGATTCGTTTTGAAAACTGATGAAAGAAAGACGTAATGAGAGCTTTTCAAAGGAGTTTTTTTCAAACAAAACAGCTGTTTCTGTGTTGTGATAAGTTATACACACTAAGCTTGGTCTTCCTATTTCTATTTTGAAACACTCTGCTGAAGGAAAAAAAAAAAAGCCTAATCCAGCCTTAATGGTTTGCTTGTCTTAGCTGGTTTAGGATGGTCTAGTTGATTTGCAAATAATGTTTTAAGCTATTTTCTTCCTGCAGCAGACAGAAAAAAACACAAAGCTTATAATATGAAGAGCTGTGTAATATTGAGTTTAGAACATATACATTAATGGATTTCAATGAAATGTAAAAAAAAAAAAAAGCCTTTCTAATATTAGGCCTTGTTTAAATACACCTGCATCTGTCTGTGTTCTTTTCGTTTTCCTGTTAGATGAGTCCAAACAAAGAATAAATAATTATTTTTAAATGCATTACAAAAGGGTCTTTGTTTAGGCAACTTTTCCAACAAATGTCTGAAATCATCTAAAGCCTGAATCCAAAGAACATCTTCCATGACCCTGTAAACATCCGGGAGAACAACAGACGGTACAAGTGTTTTGATTTTGTACTTTGTTAAGTGAGGTTACCTCATGCTGTAGTTGTCATGTTTATCCGTTTCATTGTAGAGGAAAGACCAGTCAGTGTCAGGTCTGTGTAAACCTGTGTAGGTAACACTTATATTGTGGCAGTTAACTGTTGATAAAATGAGAGATCAAAGTGAACTCTTTATCTTTATCTTGGATGAAAATCAGTAATGATGAGTTTATATTTACAATATTATTATTTTTAATATGTATGTTATATATTAATAATTATATATTTTAGAGAATAATGGCAGAACTCATTGCCATTGTTTAGAACAGGGGTGTCCAAACTCGGTACTGGAGGGCCACTGCCCTGCAGACTTTAGCTCCAACTTGCCTCAACACACCTGTAGTTTACCTAGTAAGATCTTGATTAGCTGGTCCAGGTGTGTTTTATTAGGGTTGCAGGAGGCCCTCTAGGACCGAGTTTGGACACCCTGGGTTTAGAATAACCAATTAACTATGTTTTACGTTTTCTGAAGAAAGTGATAAAAGAAAAAAAAACTTCTAATTGCAACTTTGTATCTTACATTTACAACTTTACTTCTCATAATTGCTACTTTGGTTGTTGTAATTACTACTTTATTCCTTGTAATTCTAACTTTATATCTCACAATTACAACTTTATTTCTCATAACTGCGACTTTATTTCTTGTAATTGTGACTTCATATCTCACAGTTGCAAATGTATTTATTTATTTTAATTGTACCTTCATTTCTTTTAGTCATAACTTTGTTACAATTGCAACTTTTTTTTTTTTTTTTTGCAATGGCACTTTTAATTCTAGTTGCAATTTTATTTCTTGTAATTGTGGGTATATCTTACAACTACAGGTATTTCTTGTAATTGTGGCTTTATTTCTCTTTGCAACTTTATTTCTTGTAACTGCAACTTTTATCTCACAATTGCAACTTTATTTCTCATGATTGCGATTATTTTTTTGTTATTGCAGCTTTATAATACTGACATTTTCTCATAATTGACTTTGCTTATTGTGCCTGAAACTTTATTTCTTGTAATTGCGACTTTATCTCACAATTTCCATATCTCACAATGTATCTCACAATTCCAACTTTATTTTTTGAAATGTGACTTTATATCTTACAATGTGACTTCATATCTCATAATTGCAACTATCAAATCATTTTAAGTCTTACATTATACAGTATCTCACAATCTGAATGTATTTCTTAATTTGAACTTTATCTCAAGATTAACTATTTTATTTGTATGCTAATGCAGAAACAGTCTTTCATATAAAAGTGATCATTTATAAAAAGTACTAATTTTCCTCAACAAACCACACAATGAAGAAGATGAGCTACAAACCAAAAGTTTGAAAAAATCTCTAAGTGTGTACACTAGCATTAGTGATGCTTGTCTAAGCAAGAAACAGTTATTGGTATTGTTAAGATTCAAAGCTGCAATGTTTGTGCCACTGGGCAAGTCTGAAATTGCCCGACAGTTATTCAGTGTCTTAAGCCTTTATGAATAGTGTTTATAAATACATTATATGGTATATTAAACCACACCTGTGTTCCAATAATTGTCACAGGAAGTCCAAGGCAGAGTACTCCAGAAAGAGTTGAATAGATAAAACAGAGCCCAGGCCAGGACCACTATGTAATATATATTCAGATAAATCACTATAACTTGGGAGGCAACACCTACACCTGTGAACAAAAACTAAACAGTGAGAGAAATGCCAAATGTGTAAAATAATATAAAAAATAAAAAACGCACTATCTTCAACAATAAGCTATGATATTACAGTACATTTAATTCCAGCAATTCAATACATGGACTTCATTTTTTTTTCATTGTAGATCCATTTATGAAAGCATAAGTCACCTTCAAACATGGGGCAGATTTTTCTCCAAGCAGTGATGCCCCCTTCACTAGTGTATTGACCTAACGCCGTCTCAAGGAAGAATATTGGGATTCCACAAAAGAAAAGGAAGATGAAATAAGGGATGAAGAAAACACCTAGGGAGACCATTACAGAAATTATTTAGTTATTAGTCATAATCTAGGGTGAAAATCTTGTTTCCATTACCGTTAAGGGCTGTAACAGAACATAGCAATAACATATCATTAAATAAGCACTGTTATAGCTTCTCTTGATCACATTTGAATAAGGAGCTTGAGGGTAAACGGTAGCAAACACAATAACTTAAAAACCTTTTTGATCTAAATGATTCATTTTGTAAACAAATATAACTTGTGCTTACTTATTTAAAAAATATATATAATAATAATATATTATTTTGATGGTTTAGCTGAGAGACGCTCAGATAATGGTGGCTAAAAAATAAATAAAAAAAACGACAAATATAATAATAATATTTAAAGCACACATGGGTGAGATGAGTTCTCTGCCAAAGTTTAATTTATTGGCATGGGGATTTGAATAAACCCCTAAACCCAAGTATGAGCAAAAAAAAAAAAAAAAAGTCATGTCAGCATGGGCTTGGGGAAAGAGAGCCATGATTTGTAACAAAAATTGCTTCTGAGCACTGCAGAAGAACACAGTGGACTATTGACTGAGTTAAAAGCCATGGGCTTCAGTTTTGATGTGCTGAATCTTAAAGATCAAATCCATCTCTCTTCGCAGAGGTTTAAAACGCCTTTCTTTCTTTCTGTTATACTTCTTCTTCAACACTCTCTCTATCACAAACTTTCTCTTACCGCCTCCATTTTTGTAGCAGAGGTAAGGGAAGCGCCACACGTTCCCCAGGCCGATAATCTCTCCAGCCATGGACAGCAGGAACTCAGTCTTGTTGGCCCATTTTTCTCTGGCCTCGGGTCTCTTTTCCACGCTTCCTTTCTGGCCTTCTGGCTCCATAGCTTCCCCATCAGCAATGCCTCCATCTCTAGTCTCCTCCATGGTCCCTTTCTATATTTATATATCTATGAGCAGTTGAGCAAAAAAAAAAAAAAAAAGTCATGTCAGCATGTGCTTGGGGAAAGAGAGCCATGATTTGTAACAAAAATTGCTTCTGAGCACTGCAGAAGAACACAGTGGACTATTGACTGAGTTAAAAGCCATGGGCTTCAGTTTTGATGTGCTGAATCTTAAAGATCAAATCCATCTCTCTTCGCAGAGGTTTAAAACGCCTTTCTTTCTTTCTGTTATACTTCTTCTTCAACACTCTCTCTATCACAAACTTTCTCTTACCGCCTCCATTTTTGTAGCAGAGGTAAGGGAAGCGCCACACGTTCCCCAGGCCGATAATCTCTCCAGCCATGGACAGCAGGAACTCAGTCTTGTTGGCCCATTTTTCTCTGGCCTCGGGTCTCTTTTCCACGCTTCCTTTCTGGCCTTCTGGCTCCATAGCTTCCCCATCAGCAATGCCTCCATCTCTAGTCTCCTCCATGGTCCCTTTCTATATTTATATATCTATGAGCAGTCAGTTTATTACAAATTAGCCAATTAAAATCCATAAGCATGCAGAAGAGTAAGTCTGCGTTTGTGGATAAGTTCTTGCAAATATATATTTGTTTGTTTTTTTCAGTTGAATAAATGCATCAGATGTGCTTAAATTCAGTAAAAGAATTAACACTTGAAACTTAAACATTTAGTGTAAAATGTGTATAAGTCTCCTCCAGACAAGCGGTTCGTCAAGAAATAACAGTTAATGATTGAATAATTTAATCTGCATAATCCAAAGAGAAATTATACATACCAGAAATAGTTTGAAAATGGATAAGAAGTTAAAATCTGGACGAAAAAAAAAAACAGGGCTTACCAAAGTTTGTGGACAGCTCCCTCGCATGCATGCGTAGAGTGTCAGAGCAGAGTGCAGTGTTCTCGAGTGTGCAGATCGCGGTGAGTGGGAGAGGGCGTGGCGTATGGGGTGTCATGTAGCGCTACAATCTGGACTACACCCCATGTGCAAAGATTGAACTGCTTATTTTTCTCGTTTTATACAAGCGTTTGTGTTTACTGTACATAATATAAAATGTTATTACTATTATTTTAATAATATACAGTAATTAATAGACTTACAGTGTTCATTGGATTGGACAAAATAGTTTGTGCATTATATTTTCAATTTTAATCAATTTTAATTTTGTTTCATTATTTAATTTTTATTGTAAAGCCATGGATGGATAGATAGATTGGACGGACGCTGAATTATGTGATGTTTACGTCTGACATCTACCGTTGGATTGAGGAATAGCGCATTCAAAAACTGGAAAGATCCTCAAACATGCAAAGCATGCATGAGAAAATTCAAATGACCTCTTAATCAAAGTCGCAATACTAAAATTAACGTTATAATCTGCAACAAAACTATTGTCTACGTTATAATTAAGTGGGATCCCATTGTCGCTCTTGATTTCACGTTATGTAAACTAACTCTAGCCTATATAGGCTACCTACAAATCTTAAATGGCTGAAGTAAATTAAGTAGCCTACTAATTAAGTATTAATAGTTCTAAAATAATAAAGCGTTCAATTTATGTATTTATTTATTTATTTGCTTGTCTAATGATGAATCTGATAATACGGAGTTAGATAATATTGTAACATTTATTTGTTTGGCTGAAAATTTACCTCAGTGCTAAAATACTTTATCTCCACTTCAGAATATCTCTTCCAGATGCAAAGGTGTATCTCCTTCTGTTTTTGGTTAGGTATTATTTTTGAATTATATATATATATATATATATATATATATATATAATTGTTATTGTTATTATTACAGTATTTAATACTTAACACTTTAATACTTACCTTTATTTGACCCTCTAACTCTAGCACTTTCTATTCTATTTTAATTCTACTTTATCTATATTTATCTAAATAAATAAGTACAAGTTCTTAGTTGACCGATGCATGACGTCATTGTCGGCGAATGCGGAAGTAGAGCGAACAACAACCTCAACCAGAGATATTGAGGAAAACGAAACAAACAGGATGCAGACAGGAACGATGCTTCCTCGAATTTAGATGAATTCAACGTCATTTATAACTTAAAGAGGAAAAAAATTGTTTTCGAAAGGTATTCACAATACATTAATACGGTGAAATGCTAAATCATAATCTAAATTAAAAAGTGCATTTGATCATTTCACATGTTTGTTGAACAAATGTCTTTCATGAATGAGATCGCGACGACCGGTCAAAGCAAAATAGATGAACTAGATGAGTAAAGTTTGTAAACAATCTGATGCTGGCTTGAGAAAGTATGAAAGTTTAAAATATTTTAAAACGATAGTTTGTGTGACGTTTACGTCACTGACACCAAATCAACATAAATAAAAAAAGACTGATTATTTCAGCATGTTTTAGTAAAGAGAATCTTGAATGAGATCGCGACTTGTGGAATCAAATCATAACAATGATTGACGCAGGCTAGTTATTGATGAAAGCATGTTGTCATGCACTTAAAAGGTGGCTAGATGGTCATATTTGTGTATTTGCTTTGAGGATGGACTGTAAGACCACTATCAAGCATTTGGAGAGCTCAGAAGACCTCCAGAAGCCCACTGATGAAGGGTCATGTGAGGAGGAAATGGACATATCAGAGGCAAAGTGGCGCTGGTTCTACCTTGCCGAGTGTGGCGTCTGGCATATGTTTGAAGTATGTACTGCCTTTTATCAGCCTGATAGATTAGACTAATATGAATGGCAGTTCATAAGTTGGCTTTTTGCTGATCACATCATGCTGTTTTCCTTTTCACTACAGGAAGTTCCCAGCACAGGTTGTTCTGTTACCAATGAGCAAATTGAACAAAACTACATCAAGAATCAGCATGCTTCAATAGACTTCTATACTGCTAAATATACCTATAAATTAGACTTTTCTGGTCGGTTACCAAACAAAGCACACATTTGTGTTATTTATCTAGATTTGTGGTCATAAATGGCTTGGAGGGGGTGTGATATGCATCTGTCATTTCTCTTTTCAACTATATCATATGACTAGATATGAAACAAGTCAATGTGACTACTGGAAAAGAAAGGCCAATTAAAAGGGCGTTGCATTCAGCTACTGACTTTAGGTGAGCTCATTTATCCAGCTTTTATATTTATTTATTTATTTTTAATTGTTAAATTGGTATTGTACTTTTGTATTATTTATTATTTTAAATTAAATCATTATCTAAAAATGTCTTTTAAAATTTTGTGTTTCATAGATTTATCTGTGATAACGCAGCCCTTCCTGTACCCAGTAACTGGGAAAGAGTTAATACAGAGGAACCCTATCAGGTAGGGGCGTAAGAAAATATTGATACATTTGAGTATCGCTATATTTTGTTTGGCGATAATGTATCGATTCTCAAAAATGCAATATCGATATTTATATTTAAAAAAATTCATGGCAGTTGTTTCGTTTTGAGTTTATATCCCGACAAAAGTCATGCGGTGTGTAAAATGAACAATGCCAGCGTCAAATATTCAAAGAACACACACGTTTGCGGTACATTACGGCTTCGCTAAGGTAGGGTGACTATACGTCCTCTTTTTCCTGGACATGTCCTCTTTTTGGACCTTGAAAAATGCGTCCAGCCACGGGATTTCTAAATCGCCCAAAATGTCGGGGATTCAGCTTTTGTTTTCTACAGTCGTCAATCATCGTGTGCATTTTTGTATTAGAGCTCTGAAGAAGACTGTGTCCAGTCCCGCCCATACTTGTAATTTGTGCTCTGCATTTAACCCATCCAAAGTGCACACACACACCGTGAACACACACCCGGAGCAGTGGGCAGCCATTTATGCTGCGGCGCCCGGGGAGCAGTTGGGGGTTCGGTGCCTTGCTCAAGGGCACCTCAGTCGTGGTATTGAAGGTGGAAGAGAGCGCTGTACATTCACTCCTGGGCTACTTTTAAACTGTTGCCATGGCTTGATTTTCCCCCGTGTGTTAAAGGTTTGAATTGAATTGAAAGGTGTTGCATAAATAACATTTGACTGAAATGCTTGTATTGAAACATTTTGCATTCTACCTATGATAAAACTTGTTCTAGATGTTAAGTTTTGTGAAGGATGGCCACTGGTAGGAAGCTTTTTAGCTGTGTTTATGATAAATATGCTTAACACTGACTGTAAAATATGTATATTAGGTATGGAAATGACATATTTTGAGTTTTGATATTTGAGATTTCGCTACTTTGGGCGCTTTCGGCATTAATTTAACCACCAACCAACCACACCCCAGCCCCCCGCCCCGACCACATGCACCCACTGTCCTCTTTTTGAAAAACTAAAATATGGTCACCCTAGATTTAGCTGCATTTTAACCGCAATACACTTCTGAAGGCTCTGCCTCTGGCCATCTTTAATGAAGACCTCTTACCCTTTATGGTACATGGCAGGAAAGAAGGTGGATGCCAACTTTAATGTGTAGTCTTGAAGGAGGTATATTTGATATGATGTAAGTCATGAAGCACACTTTTACTTTTGGAGTGAATTTGCATTTATTTTTCTCCACCGCATTCACACACAGACACTCTCCACGCACGTGTGTGTGTGTGTGTGTGTGTTCACGTGTGCTCATGTTCTTCATGTTCTTCCTGCAAGCACTTTATTTTTCATTGATATTAAGCAGATGCAATTATTTTATTCAGATCAAAATGTTATGGCATTGTATTTTACAATTTTTTACTTAAACAGTGAACCTTTAAAGCAGGGTCTAAAAATATATATGGTCTGTTTATAACAGCTTACATTTTATACATTTCATTTAACTAAAGAGTCCTGCAAGCACTTTATTTCCCCCCCTTTACTCGTACTGCACAAAAAGTGGTTCAGTGACATTGAATGTTACCGGGACTAATTAATGCAAATGCAGATCCCACTGTGTTCTGGTTAAATCATTTTTATTTAGTATTGCTAGATTATTGCCGATACACAGCCCTACTATCAGGTATACAAAGAGAAAGTTAAATTAATGATTACTTTTAATGACACAGAATGACTTTTGACTGTGGGACTGTGACTGGTTCTGTCCAGCTAATTGCTATATGCAGCGATACGTTTGAGTACAAAGAAGTGGCCCGGTTATATGAGAGAACCATGAGCCAGCCCATCAGATCCATTCAAAGAGAACAGAACCTGGACCTGTGGGAATTTTTCTGCAGGTTGGTTCATTTTTGCAATATTTAAAATCATCTTTTTTTTTTTTTTTTGCA